CGGGACCGAGGCCTCAAGCCCGTCAGGCAGTGTCGTAGACAGCTCTCGCTCGTCCGGGTCCTGAAGGCGGAGAGAGAGCTGGGCAACCCCGTGCTTTGGTTACCAGGGGAGGCGGAAGTGGCCGAGGGGGTGTGGCTTTCTTCTGGAAGTGGGCGGAGCGCAGTCGCCAAGCTGCAGCTTTTGAAAGCCATTTTTTTTCGAATTTGCTGCCCGTCTGGGAATAATATTAGAAAGCGGGGGAAAAAAAGTTGTTAGAATTGAATCCCTGCTCAATTCTTTCAGAGAGGGAGAAAGGAATGCAAAATATTCACCCTTAATGCTTAATTATGCCTGTCAAAGAAATCTTTAAAACAAAATTTACTCCCAACCCTAATTAGAGATTCAAACAACGTGCATATTTAGTATTTAACTAACATTAACACTTAACTAACATTAAGCTGGCGTTTAAAAGTTTTATCTATCTAAATATCAATTTATCTAATAATTTTATTAGATTTTTCCCGGTTAGTTCTTTGCACTGTTCCAAAACCATTTATGCCAATGAATGAATGAATGAGCTGACGGGTCTTAAGCAAATCAAAGTTTATATTTTCATAGATTTCAATAGACTTAGAGAAATCGACTACTTCTGGATAAGGACCAGGCGATATATATTGTAGTTTCTTCCCTGTCTTGGTTTTAATGAAACCCAATTGGAATTGTGCTTAAGCATACATTTTTTCATTGCTGAAAGAAAGCCTTTGAAACATGTGGCTGGTACATCTGTAATATAAACAATGAAGAAAGAAATGAGAAATGTTGATGTTATTAAAGGTAAGATATAGTATCGCTGTAGTTACCACATAAACATTTACTTGTTTCGGAGGGCAACTGGCTTGTAATTCTGATATAGTCTAGTTTTTTGACAGGTCTCTACTTTTAATGTTTATTTTATTTACTTGAATTTAAAAACCATCCAATTCCCAATGGATTCTGGATGGTGTACAAAACTAGAAAATAGAAAGTTAAAAAAAAACACCAAATGCACAACCTACACTGCAATAATCTTGCAAAGAACAAAAACAAGTGTGAGCCCATAGACAAACAATAATACACCCACATCTGGAACCAAAATCAGATTTCAGAGCTCGAGATATATATAACTGTTTGGGGCTGGAGTATTTTTTCCAGAAACTGGAAAACTTGATGTGCAAAACTCCCTGGGAACATTGGCTTAAAATTCTTAATTAAATGAAATATTTTGTCAGTTAGGGGGCTCAGCTGTTTATAGTGTTCAATTTGAGGAGCAAAGCAGTGGTCTCACTGTCATTTGCAATTCTTGCTCTATAGTAATCCTATCACAAATGCAAACTAAATCATGTATTAATTTGGGGCATGAAGAAAATAATGAAAGTTTTTTTTTTCAATTAACTGTGCTGCGTGAAGCCTGGTTTGATTTTTCTGAGGCTCAATCTACAGTCTTAATTTGGCTACTGTGGTAAAGTCAACACCTGAATCTTGTTGTTGTTGTTGTTAGTGGCAAAGTCGTGTCCGACCCATTGCGACCCCATGGACAACGTTCCTCCAGGTCTTCCTGTCCTCTACTATCTTCTGGAGTCCATTTAAGCTCACGCCTGAATCTTGATTTAATGGTAAATACGTAAAACTACAAGTCTCATCCACACAGCGCTCTTAAGTTATAAAGGCTTGGCATCTTAACTGAAGTCAGCAAATCCGACTCTTTTGACAGATCAGTTATACAAACTATGACATAACATAGTAATAGTAGTAGTAGTAGTAGTAGTAGTAATAATAATAATAATAATAATAATAATAATAATAATAATAATAATAATAATAATAATAATAATAATAATAATAATAATAATAAAGTTGGAAGGGACCTTGGAGGTCAACTAGTCCAACCTCCTGCTCAGGCAGGAATACCATTTCAGACAAATGGCTGACCAGTCTCTTCTTAAAAACTTCAAGTATTGGAGCATTCACAACTTCTGGAGGCAAGTCGTTCCACTGATTAATTGTTCTGTCAGGAAATTTCTCCTTAGTTCTAGGTTGCTTCTCTCCTTGGTTAGTTTCCATCCGTTGCTTCTTGTCCTGCCTTCAGATGCTTTGGAGAATAGCATGTCTCCCTCTTCTTTGTGGCAGCCCCTGAGATATTGGAAGACTGCTATCATGTCCCCCCTCGTCCTTCTCTTCATTAGACTAGACATACCCAATTCCAGCAACCGTTCCTTATATGTTTTAGCCTCCAGTCCCCTGATCATCTTTGCATGAACATGACATTAAACATATCCATTGATGCAAATTCTGGATTAAGATCATACTTCATACTAAAACACAATAGGATTTGTTGATCATGTGACCCAGGACACAGCAATGGTCATAAGTATGAGTCAGTTGCCAAGTATCTGACTTTTGATCACATGATCATGGGGATGCTACAAAAGCCGTTAAGTGTGAAAAACGGTCATAAGTCCTCCTTTTTCCAGTGCCCTTGCAACTTTGAACCGTCAATAAATGAACTATTGTAAGTTGAGGAATACCTGTATGATATCATAACTGCAAAGGTGTTGCTTGGAGCAAGAAAATCTAGACCAGGGGTAGGCAACCTTGGCCCCTTCATGACTTGTGGACTTCAACTCCCAGAATTCCTGAGCCAGCATGGCTCAGCTTGGAAACTTCTCCCTTTTCCCTCAGCATGGCTGGCTCAGGAATTCTGGGAGTTGAAGTCCACGAGTCATAAAAAAGCCAAGGTTGCCTACCCCTGATCTAGATTCTTGAAATTGATCCCCAGCCAAGGGGTGTCTTTGATACAGACCCTCCCCCCTTCCCAGCTGAGCTGGATGCAAGTTGTGAGATACCATTGTGGGAAGAGGTTTCTAAGTATTTCTAGCAGGACTACCAGATTCTGTAACAGCTTTGTTCCCTAGGCCATCAGTCTGGTGAACTCGCAAGATTCGGTTTTTTTCGCCATGTATATATTTATACATCCAACCTAGACTGTGTTGTTTCTCTGGGCCACACACGTATGTGTGTGTGGGTATATGCATGATTTATTTATTTTTGTTATATTCATGCAGTGTATATTGGAGGTGGTTACCCTTTGAGAGCTGTATACAATGAAATCTCATTTTAATGTATGCTGATTAGTGTGCACATAAAGTGACAATGAAGTTGTTCTGTTCTATTCTATTTTCCAATATCTATTATGTTCTGTTCTATTTTCCAATATCTATTCTATTCTATTCTAGTCTAGTCTAGTCTAGTCTATTTTTAAAAAAAATCTATTCTATTCTATTCTATTTTCCAATATCTATTCTAGTCTAGTCTATTCTATTTTCCAATATCTATTCTATTCTATTCTATTTTCCAATATCTATTCTATTCTATTTTTCAATATCTATTCTATTCTAGTCTAGTGTATTTTCCAATATCTATTCTATTCTATTCTAGTCTATTCTATTCTATTTTCCAATATCTATTCTATTCTATTCTATTTTCCAATATCTATTCTATTCTAGTTTAGTCTAGTCTAGTCTATTTTTTAAAAAAATCTATTCTATTCTATTCTATTCTATTTTCCAATATCTATTCTATTCTATTCTAGTCTAGTCTATTTTCCAATATCTATTCTATTCTATTCTATTTTCCAATATCTATTCTATTCTATTCTATTTTTCAATATCTATTCTATTCTAGTCTAGTATATTTTCCAATATCTATTCTATTCTAGTCTAGTCTATTCTATTCTATTTTCCAATATCTATTCTATTCTATTCTATTTTCCAATATCTATTCTATTCTAGTTTAGTCTAGTCTAGTCTATTTTCCAATAGCTGGCGACCCCCAGGGGGAGAGCCTTATCTGTCGGAGCACCCACCCTCTGGAACGAGCTGCCCCCAGAGATCCGGGTGATTCCGGATCTCCCCTCCTTCCGCCGCGCCCTCAAGACTTGGTTGTTTCAGCGGGCAGGACTGGCCTAGGGGTATTTTAAATTGGTTTTAACTAAATTTTAGTAGAAGCGGCCTATTTAAATATTTATTTTTAATTATTCTTAAATTTTGTATATTGTATTTGTATCAAACTGTTTTTAAACTGGCTGTAAGCCGCCCTGAGTCCTCCGGGAGAAGGGCGGGGTATAAATATAATAAATCAAATCAAATCAAATTAAATCAATCTATTATATTCTATTCTATTTTCCAATATCTATTCTATTCTATTCTATTCTATTCTATTCTATTCTATTCTATTCTATTCTATTTTCCAATATCTATTCTAGTCTAGTCTATTTTCCAATATCTATTCTATTCTATTCTATTTTCCAATATCTATTATATTCTATTCTGTTTTCCAATATCTATTATATTCTAGTCTATTTTCCAATATCTATTCTATTCTATTCTATTTTCCAATATCTATTATATTCTATTCTGTTTTCCAATATCTATTATATTCTAGTCTATTTTCCAATATCTATTCTATTCTATTCTATTTTCCAATATCTATTATATTCTATTCTGTTTTCCAATATCTATTATATTCTAGTCTAGTCTAGTCTATTTTCCAATTTCTATTCTATTCTATTCTATTCTATTCTATTCTATTCTATTCTATTCTATTCTTAAAATTAGGATTAGGGATTCATTTAACAACTGTCTTGCTTAGCAACAGAAATATTGGGCTCCCTTGTGGTCAAGGGGTACCTGTACGTAAAAGGCAACATTTCTTGTGGGATAAGGCTGGTTGATCCAAATTGTTTGCAAACTTTATCGTGCACCCAAATGTTGCCTTTGCACGGTTTGCAATTCGCAACAGCAGACAAGAGGCGGCTCCGTCCACCGGGGCTGCCCACCCACCTGTAACATCCAGAGCCGCCGCCCCCCGTGGGCGTGTCCTCTCCCCCCCTCCTCTCCGGCTGCCCCAATCAGCACCGGGGGCGTTGTCGGGGGAGGCGGAGCCCCGCCGCTCTTGGCCCGGGACCAGGCGAGCGGCTGGAGGCGATGGCTGCTGTGCGCTGCTTGGCCGGGCTGCGCGGCGGGGCTGCTGCGGGCGGCTGGAGGCCGCTGCTGGCCCGCTGGCCCCGGGGCTACCACACCGAGCGCGGCGTCTACGGCTACAAGCCCAGCCGCCAGGCGGAGGAACCCGGCCGGGGCGCGGAGCGAGCGGAGCCCTGCCGGCGAGCAGGTGGGGGGCGCCCCGGAGAAGCGGGCTGGGGGTGGGTGGGCTGGCTGGCGGATGCGGGGCTTGCAGTCACTCCGAGGAGGAGGAGAGAGGGAAGGAAGGAAGGAAATGAGGAAGGAAGGA